TTCTGAATTTGGAAGTTATTTTCTAGATTATGAAATGATTTTTCTGAATTTGGAAGTTATTTTCTAGATTATGAAATGATTTTTCTGAATTTGGATGTCATTTTCTGGATTATGAAATGATTTTTCTGAATTTGGGAGTTATTTTCCGCCTAATCTTCACCTCCCCCTGTCTACAGGATATTTTTCCAAAGTTCGTTTTCAGAGTACAAAATCAAAATTTCGAAAAGTCATTTCAAATATTTATTTTAATTTTTAATTTTTGAATTCGGAAATTGAAAATTGACATTGATGAGATAATATTCGAATTTTGACATGATGATAAAAAATGAAAATTCAAAAATCAGGCAAATTTCATATGTCCAATTCACGCCAACTAAATTGAAAAGCTCTTTGTGGAGTGTTACACGGACCTTCCAAAACACTATCATTGAGGGTACAGCGTCTGGACTATGTGAACTCGGGCTTCATAGCAGAAAATCGAAAGAATTCTTCGTGAACATCCTTTTAGATGGTGCAAAGACAGTTAGACTTTCGAAAAGATATTTGTCCTTGTAAATCACGCGCGCTTAAAATGTTGGGGGAATTAAGCAATCAGGATTTTTACCATGACTTGTAAATCTCTCGTTCGCTAATTGGTTGAGAGCTATGTTCAAACACAGGCTTACCATCCGAAGTATCTGTGGTTTCGGATGTGCGGGCTCCCTGTGGTCTCTTGTGGCTTTCGCCCGTTAATAGAATTTTGAATTATCGAGTGATTTCAGCTTCTCTAAAATACATCTTCTGCCGGAAAACTTCCTAAGAATTTAGTCATTCACTTCATGAAATTTAAGTGTTATTTCTTCGTCCGATGCGTTTTAAGGCCAGTTTTTGGCGTTTGGCGTGAACTATGTTTGTGTGTGTGTGAGAGGGGAATTAAGGGGAAGGCAGGCAACAAAACTCGACCACCGCTCGATCTAGCCCATCAGAATTCAAATTCAAGAAAAATCTCACCAAAAAAATACCACGGCACGATCGAAGAGATCCTAAGCTATACCTCAGCAGTGTTTCACGCTCATAGACAAATTCTTTCTATCAGAAAAGGCAGGATTTTTGACCTTTTTCGCCACGGTAAAAGGATAGAGGACTCACTCGCCGTGAGACGGAAGGAATTCGAAATATGCAGATTCTTTTCCGTTGTTTGGAGCGGAAGCGCAAATTCTCCTCTCCTCGGTAGACAGCGTAATCGATGCGTTGATATAAGCGAAGCGCTGATTGGCTGATTCAAACTAGGCTGCATTTTTGTATTTTTGAGAAGCTGAAATCATTCGGGCGAACGCTACACCACAGGGAGCCCACACATCCGAAACCACAGATACTTCGGATGGTAAGCCCGTGGTTCAAATAATTAATTCCTTGCTTGTTATTGTAAATTAAAGAGCACAAACTCATTGCAACACATTGTTGTCCCGAATTTTGTCCAAATACCAGTTCATTACCTTGGCTATATGGTGCTATTATTGTTTTGCTAGGGTCAATGTACATTGTTGGGTTCTTCTCATGTCTGCATTTAGTTTAAATTTACATTAATTTGACATTAGTCTTGTGTAGACCGGCACATCAAACTATTACAAATAAACAATGATAAATACCGACTACTGTAGCTCTATATTTCAACTTCATTACAGCTGTATCCCTTTATAAACCCTACTAGAGCAATTAAACAAAAGCTTCTTTTCATGTTGTGTGACTCAGTTATTTAAGCTTATTCTCTTAGTATTCAGCTTACATTCATTTTTTGTAAGTTTTCTAACCTTCACATATCAATGAAGCTTGGAGGACTTCGGTATACTTGGACGAATACGTTTGAAGATAAACTCTTTCAGCTTTTTGCTTTTGTTTCTCTCAGACTTTTCAGAGTTCGTAGGGTATTTTGCTGGGTTCACGATCACGTCTATATGCACGATGATGCTCTTATTTGACTCAAGATAAGATAGTTCATTTGATATAGTAGTTATAGCATCCTCTTTTACTCCGACGAAGGACTAGCGTCCGAAACGTCAGTAAGTTTTTTCATCTTTTCACGGTGTATAATTTACCTTTTTATCATTACTGTTTCATTAGAAACACCGACGCAGCTCACACTAGTTTTTAGCTAGTTATATCTAGTTATAGCATGGCTCACGATAAAAGGGTCACTCGTAATGGTTCTCTCATGAAATTCGCGGACCGACCCGTTCCGACTCAAGCATGTTAAGGCCTGGGATTTTGTTCAAAAGGGCAAAAACTACTTTTCACTGTATATTCCTCAATTTTAGATGTAATTGAATGCGATTGCAACAGTTATCCTTATTTCGGGTGCTTAACTTTTTGGATGGATAGATTTGCATAAAAGGTGGTCACGTGACCTTAAAAGAGGGAAAATGCTAAATTAAAAACTAGGTGATGGTTTTAGATTATTTGTGAGATATTATTTTTTTAGCTTGTTTGAAAGTAGCGACAAAGATACAGATATTCACGTTTGGAATGGTCGACCAAAATGTTTACGAAAGGAGAAAAATGGGCATAAAGGATATTTTGACAGGTCACGTGACCTGTTTTGTAAAATATCTCCTTAACACAAAACTTTAGCCAACCGTTCTCAACGTCAATTGAACGACTTTAAGAAAGGAAATAAATCAAGGTTGAAAACGTTCAGCAAAGACTTAAATTGAGCACCTACTAATAAAATGATTTTTTAATGTAAATTTATGTAAATTTCGTGATCACGTGACCTAAATTTTTTCCCGTTTTTTTGGAACCAATTTGTAAAGAACCACAATATAAGAAAGTTTGAGAAAGCTGGTCATACTTTAAGCAGAAACACCAGAGAAATTATTTTTTAATGGTTTAATAGAGAATTGGTTCATAACCCAGGCCTTAACATGCTTGAGGAAAATGTCTCTACATCTTTTAGTGTGGGTCTACCACGAAAAGTGTGTGCTTTTGTATGTGTCTTGAGCGTGTTAGACTCCATATAATATTCATTACTTGAAACAGCAACTAGTCCTTCACCATATCCGCCATTATGGTTGATTCTACGCATGCGCTTAGACTTTAATTTGACGCATGCGCCTTAGGGCTACGAGGGCGATTTGTGACTGAAGAAAAAAAGAAAGCCCAATTTATACCTCGGGCATTTCTTCGAAATTACAAATGTTTTGGTCAAAGTCAAAGTTTTCAGGAACCACTTCTAAAATTTTCTCACATGACCTCAAAATCAAAATCCATTCAAATCGTCACTGAGGTTAGTCTACGCGAAATCGAGGCTAAATAATTTCCGAATACGGAAACGCTTTTCGAAAAATGAAATTTTGAAAATTAGCCAAGCAAAGAAAAAGCAACTGCATGACGAACAATGCTGGAGAACATTAAAAGCAAAACTCTTACTTGGCCAGGTGTAGCAGATCAGTGTCCAACGTTGATGTATTTTTAAAATCTTTAAAATGCGAAACCGTCATTTCGCATTTTACAGATGTGCAAAATGCGAAACGACAGACTGTAAAATGCGAAGTTAATTTTAAAATAAATAGGTGAAAATGAATGTTCCATGTTTTAGAAAATTTGAGATTACTTTGAATGTCAGTGGGAAGAACAGCGTAAATTTTCCATGTACCAAAAGCCACAAATTAAAAAACATGTACATGAGTTTTGAAAACATTCACACATCTGTAAAATGCGAAATGACGGTTTCGCATTTTAAAGATCAGCAAATGCGAAATCCTCGTTTATCAAGCATAGACACTGAGAATGTTACTGCACTGTATTTTACAAATAGATAAAAAGTGAAGTCTGTGCCAGTCRAGATAGAACTTGGATATTATCACCATGTTAGGCAATGCAAAAAGGCAAGTTATGATATACATTTATTATACATTATTAACAATTAAACATTTCTGAAGATTCAGAAGTGTGAAAAAAAAAACACAGGAACCATTGGATTATTACATAATAATATTCTGTTTACCCAATAGCAAAAAGAGGCAAAGTGCTTCAAATGGAGGTATGTTGTGTATTAAATGAAACCAATAAATGCCATTTTTACATTAAAAAAACACTTTTTACTGTGATCTAATGTCTATACTGATGCTTGGGGCTGTATAGTATGAGAGAAGCATTCTTATTAGGGGCTGCATTGTGGAAATAAAGAGGGTTTATTTATGCCATGGGAGGAGTGTAACTTTAAACTCTATGCTCTAGAACTGGATCTCAGAGTTTTATATTCTCTCATGAGCCTAAATTTTGTAGTCGTCTTTGCAGTAGTCATAAGTATAGTAAGTCATTTAAACTGTAATAATGATCTTGAAAGTCTCAGTAAAAGGACCATAGATTTCAAATTTGTGTTCTTATTTAAAAATTGTTTTAGAAAATAGTAAGAAAAGTACGCAGGCCCAAAAGGATGAAAGTAAAGAAGCTGAAGACAGTTCAAGAGACAGTGATCTGCATCAACATGATGTTTCTATTTATGATGACGTGTCATCATTAGAGAGCGAATCTTACTCTGAATCAATAGAATCAGCAAGTAGTATACCTTGCCAAGATAAGCTGGCCAAGTTGGCAGAAATCGTGATTGATTTTGATATGAATTTTAATGAGGCAAAAAACAAGAGGAAATTGGATGTGGAAGAAGTCCTTAAAGCAGAAATTGCACTCAGAAACACAAGTGGAGGTGTTATAAGAATTAACAGCACACACAAACCAGCAGTGAAAGATAGAGATGACTGGATGAAAGAATTGTACGAAAAACGAAAGACTTTACTTGGCAGTGAATGTGGTGAAAAAGATTCAATTGATGACATTTTAGATATTGAAACCAAGGATGCCACGACTTCCATATTTGTAAGGAAGTCATCAGTTACCATTCTAACTGATGATTCTCACCTTCGACAGCGCAGCGAAGGGAGAAACTACAAAGTCTCTTTGTATTCCAGAATTTGTGAGCTGCTAAATAAGAAAGAAAGAAGGTGTGTCTGTGCAAACAATCCAAAATTCCATACATCATTTCGTTTGGATGAAAAATTGTCTTATGAAACAATGACTGAGGAACACAAGCTGCTTAATCCCAACAAGGATGAAAACTTGGCCAAACGCCTTTGCGACAAGCTAAGTGATAATGTAGTGGCATTTGCAAACACTCAGGGAGGGACAGTGTACTTCGGAATAGAAGATAAACAATCTCTCATCAAAGGACAAAAGATCAAAGATAACGAAGAGAAAGATAATATCCATCGCAGTATAGTTGAATGTATGGAACGAAAGCTTTGGGCTTTGGATTCTGGAGAAGAGGTTAAGCCTAAAGCAGGAGACGATTATCATATCAAGTTTTTCCGAGTAGATGGAGCTGGCGATGACACTTATGTCATAACAGTCCATATCTGTGCTTTCCCTGGTACTGCTGTGTTTAAGCAGAAACCAGAATGCAGTGTACTGGATCAGGAAAACCAAATTGTCAATATGGAATTTAAGGAATGGCTTTCTCTACACAAGCCTACTTCTGGAGGTAAGGCATACATTTAATTTTGAATTGCAATAAGAGGTTACTTTCCCCTACCCTCAACGGCATTATATAATGTATTGGAAACAGTTAATACACCACTGTGTGTCCTCATCAAAAGTGTGTGTTCAGGGTTATTACATTATCAGCAGGGTTTTTACATTATGAGCAGGGTTATTATATTATGAGCAGGGTTATTATATTATGAGCAGGGTTATTATATTATGAGCAGGGTTATTATATTATGAGCAGGGTTATTATATTATGAGCTGAAACTTTGCTTTCTTACCAATATCAAGGTGTTTGTGGACAAAACTTGCCCCCAGCACACCTCATGTGTCCAGTACAGGGAAAAAGCCTGACTCTACTGGGTCTGGAGGGGGAAAAGAAACTGTTAATAAGTCTAATTTTATGGGGGTACCAATTTTGAAGTCTTAATAAGTAAACTGCATGGTGCTAGAACAAATAGATTTCTTATGTGAACCATTCCTCCCCTCCCCCTCCAATGTACAAACAAACTTACCCTTTTTCTTAATTTCCTTATTGATTATTCATACCTTTGATAGTTGTCTTATTTTGTCAGGAGATGAAAATGACCTAAAGAAATTAAAACGTCAAATATGTGAGAGAACAGTCTATTATACTGTGGAAGACAGCATCGAAGATATTTACAGTGATTTGATAGAAGGTATTTGGGCATAGATCCTTAGTATTGTCATATAATACATATTATTTACCAGAGAGTGGTACACCATAGAATATCCCATGAAGCACTTGTATTTTCAGTATACCAAAGAGCCTTCAAGAAAATACATGATCTGGTGTTGTTGAATATTTTTTCCAGTATTGCATTCCATTAGATCTATTTGTAACAAAAAGATTCCACTTTAACACTTGTGGAAATCTTGAGCAGTGGAATTCAATATTGGAAAAATATTCAACAACGCTTGATCTTGAAGAAGACCCTTTTTAATGCCGGATCTTGAAGAAGATTGCTTTTTAATTTATCTATATTCTGTGCCATAATGACGATGCCGACGATGGTCTGAAATGGGAAAACATTGTGCCCATGGTAAAGTAGTCTTCCTCGCATCCGTTTTTAGTGTCGGTCGTCACGCAACGCTCCCTCCCCACAAACGGCTGCTTGCATTCGAACTACATTCCTTTCTCATTGTTTGGCCAATCACAAGACGGGTTACATATTTAGAGAACCGTTCGCGGACTTTTGATCTGACCAATCACAGTGCATCTTTTATTTCGCATTCTCAAATCGTTCGTTCATAGAAGAAGTGTACATGTTTGGCCTTGTGTATTCAAAGTTCGGTATTCCTGATCTAAATGCGCATCAGAAGTCGGCTATCAAAACTTTAGTCGAAGTGAAAAAAGATATTTTTGACAATCTTCCAACAGGGTTTGGCAAATCTCTAATTTATCAAGCTCTGCCTCTCGTATTTGACTACAAATATACACTAGAGTCTGGTCACATCGTGGTTGTTGTGTCTCCTTTAATTGAGACTTAGATCCGACGACGAGTACGAGAACGAGTCCGAGTTAAAACTTTTAAAGATTGGCACTATCTCTTTGTAGTCTTGATCGTAAATGAAATAGATATGACTGAAACTTTAGATTGTAAAAAATCGGAAATCGACTACGATTTAGCGTTACTCGTACTCGTACTCGTCGTCGTATCTAAAGGTCGCTAATAATACGTCTAATGGATGACCAAGTCTCAAATTTACGTAGTTTAGGATTTAGTGCTGTGAAGATAAGCTCACTAGAAGAGGAAGAACCCTGTGAAGTCCAAAACGGCGAATATTCCGCACCGATTTCTTTCGAGGATGTTCTTTGGCAGCTCGATTGAAACTCAGCATGTTTATGCTTTCGGACACTGTGATTGGCTCAATAGGAAACAATACGCTCGACCTCATTGGCACGATCCAAACAATGAGAAAGGAATGTAGTTCGAATGCAAGCAGCCGTTTGTGGGGAGGGAGCGTTGCGTGACGACCGACACTAAAAACGGGTGCGAGGGAGACTAATGGTAAAGATGTCTATTTGTTATTTATTGCAGGTTCACCAGGGAGACTAAAGATCCGGCAAAAATATGCAATGAATTCAAGAAACAGAAGCTTGAAAACATTTATTAACTGTTTGAAAAAGATGTTCATACAAAATAAATGGGAAGGCATCGTATTCATTGAAAGATGTTGGGAAGTTAATATAGGGCTTCCAAACACAAAGCCGGCAGAGGTGATTCAGGACATTTTGGTTTGCTCTCCAAGCATTCCTCTTTTATTGGTTAGTCTATGTGAGGGAGAAGCTACCAGTGAAAGCTGCAAGTACAACATAAAGCTAGCAACTAAGTTGAAGGGGATACTTGCCCAAGAAGGAGGGTGCATGGAGAAATTCTATGTTAAGCCTATCACGCTTGCATGCTCTGTAGAAGATGACATAGGCATACTAGAGATGATATCTCATACATCTGTCTATCCCGAAGCCTACCAGATGTCTACTGAGAAATATCAGGCCATCGTTAAAGCCCTTGTCCCTGTACTTGCCAGAGTGAATTCCTCATTTAAAGGAACTGTTGGCAATCATCTTTTTCATTTGCTCACCAAAAAGCAATATGAGATTCTCTTTGAGAATTTGCAATCACCAAAATTGATGATAACAGGCCCCCCTGGCAGTGGGAAAACAGTTTTGGCGATTGAACGTATTCATCGTCTACGAAGACAGGGCTTTTCTTCTAAACAAGTTTTGTTTATGTGCTCAAATAAGGTGCTGGAGGCTGAAGTCCGGTATGACGTCATGAAATTGTATACATCCATTTTCAGTTTTTATCTTTTGTTTCTTTTTGCATAGTTTTTTAGTGCATTAACTACTCCGGGATGGACAGCTTAATGCCTAGTAACAGGTTTTGCAACCCAATTATTCATAAGGCAGATTGAATTAGAATTTAGAAGTTGATTTTTGTGGAGGGAGGAAAAATCCTTGAAGCACAGGAGAGAAACAACAAACAACTAAACTGGCATACAATGCCGAGCCGGGGTCACATTGGTTAGAGGCAGTTCATTAGCAGTGCACACCACCCATGCTTCCAATATCATTAATCTCCATAGTTTTCTAGCTCAATTTTTTTCAATCGTTTGAAACTCTTAGCCTCATTTTAGAACAGTCATTTGCATCCAAAAATGAACTTTCAATTCAAGGGTTTTATACAAGAGGTTTTTCATGACAATAGAGGATTTTAAACGTAGATCTTGGGATCAAGTCGTTTCACTTCTCGATCAACTTCATACAAAACATTCATGACGCCATTATTTTGACCCATATTATTGTAAAACTACTTTGCAACATGTTATCTCATGTTATTTGTTGGTAATATTATGTTATGACTTGAAATGAAACAACTTGTATTCCTCAATTCACACAACATTGTGGATCCAAGGATTGAACATCACTATCATCCCTCTACCCTCTAATACTGTGGGATACTTAATGAAGATAGAATGAAATCAAAGCATTCATCTTTAGCTTTTAGCACAGGAGAAATCTTAGAGCCAAGATCTGGATGGGTAATGTCACTAGGATATCACTAGGGTTCAATGTGTAGCAGTAGTACACTCACATACTTGGACTAGCCATCAAAATGTGAGTCAAATAGTAGAGTTTGTTCGGTCTCTCCTTTGATTTGAGGGTTTTTCTGGTTAACTTTAGAGACATGTAGAGTGATGACCAGAGTGTTCAAAATGTAAGAGGCCAAAATGTGTTACCAATTCATGCATGTAGAATGTGGTTTTGTTACCATTTCATGGTTTTCAAATGTCATTGAATATTTTGGCCTTTCTTTTTAGGAACATGGAGGTAATCATGGATGGTAAATCAGAGCCATTATGCTTAGTATACAATTATTATGGAATAATTTTTTGTCTGAAAAAGAAATGTGTTGATGAACTTGCTGGGGTGAAGCATATTCTCATTGATGAATTTCAAAATTTCAAGCGGAAATCCCGAGATATTCCAATTATTGACTGGTGGAGGAGATTTATAGAATTGTACGATAACAAGAGTCCTCCAAGTCTTTGGATATTTAGTGACACCTCCCAGCAGATAATTAAAGGACCGTGTGTACTTGAAACACTACCAGATGGTTTCTCCCAATGCCAGCTGAGTACCGTCATCAGAACGACTCGCAAAATACACAGATTCATCTTTGAGAAATTCATGAAGAATGGCCCACGGAATCATATTGGGCATGATTTTGATGGAGAAAACGTCAAAGTTTTGGTGCCAAGACCATCAAGAGTTAGTAGAAAAGTGCACTTGGTATACATGTTGATTCACCTACTTAAAGACATGGTTAATAAGGGAGTTGATCCAGACACCATTGGCGTCCTTTTTACTGATGAAAAGGAAAAGAATTTGTATCGTAAATTATTTGATGAACGCACAAGGTATTGTCCAGTCAAGGATGGAAAGGCTGTTTCTGAACATGGTATTGTGTTTGACACTATCCGTGTCTTCTCTAGGGGGGGTAAAGACATCATTATTGGGTTCTGTCCCCTCTTTGCTCCTAATTCAGGTTTCCAGAATAAGGATGCTTTGATGATTTCATTATGCAGTCAGGCAAAGCTCAAGCTCATTTTGATCCTTGAGAATGAAAAAGTCGCACATTCTTTTGGATTGGCCAACTGCATGGAAAACACAGATATCCCATGGGAAAAGGATGTTGTAATTATAGACTTCAGGGTGTGAAACACTAAATCCAACAAAAAAAACCCAGCTAGTGTAGCAGGATCACAGGAGGTTGAGTAGGAAGGAGAGAGATCCAAGGTTCCAAGTTATTGGCAAGTTATTTTATTAAAGGCTCAAATCACGATTGATTAACAAGTCAATAAATAGGAACAAATAGCATACTACTCTGTAAATATAAACACAATAATTCAAAAATATAAGCTGGCTGAACTAATAGTCTAAACTTTGAGAAACCAATACAATAATATGCAAATATATTATAATAGTCTTTAGGCTAAGAATAGTTTTTTCCCATTTGCTATATTGTAATATTAGCCTAATGGATCAGAATCGTCAGTAATCATATGCGCGACTAATATTGAAGAGGCTCACTTCATCTAAACTTGGGAGCACCTTTATCTTTTATTAATAGCAGGGCTGTCAACTCTCCCGGATAAACCGGGAGTCTCCAGATTTTGGACCGTGTCTCCCGGTCTCCAGATTAGAGTATCAAATCTCCCGGATAATCCCCGAAGCTGACCATTTCTTGTCTTGTGAGACTAGACTTTCACAACCATAAAATTCCAATTATTTCATGTTGTTTGTGTTATTTTATATCGCTAACAAAATCAAAACGTTCCTCATGAACTGTTCTTGCAAGCAGGCCATTGTAATATAAGCGATAATCTGATTGGTCAGAAATAAACCAATCACATCAAATGTTACAAAGCGAAAGACGTCTTTTCGCGCGCTTTTTGAGGCGCTGTGACGTCATGTCCCTTCACTATCAATTCTCCAGATTTGAATATCTTGGGGGTTGACAGCCCTGTAATAGAGTTATCCTTTTTACTATCCTTTATATAACTTGGGGTAAATTAAAGGGAGACTCAGCCAGCAGGATAGGTCTAAATAACACTGCATAAGGTATGATAAACAAATAAAAGATAATACTGTATTGTACTGATTCAGAAGTTAAAACAATGCAGCATGCTTTATTGCTATTTTAGACAAGACAATTCTGTAGCTACTGTAAAAGATAACTTAGCATGATACAAAGAAATTTGGCAGTAAACCTTTCAAAGGTTAATTTTTATATTATGTAAAAGTTAAAGTATATTATGGTATGAATATAAAAGGATCAGAAAGATAGTATTGTAAAATGTTAGTTAAGTTAAGTTAGTTATTTCAAAAAAAAAGGCGAATGTTTTGGTGCATGTTGCATACCAAGCCCACATGCACTATGGGCGATGTTTATCATTTAAAGGTCACAATGATATGGAATTTTCCCAAACATTGTCTGCACGTCTTTTGCATCATAATATATTATTGTCCTTTGTGACATTAAAATATATTATATCATAATACATTCCAAGGTTGATAAACAATATCCAACATGCAACAAAACCATTATGAACCTTGTTTGTAATGGCTGTATACAGCTATTGTGGTAGAAATTTTCAATCTAGTTTAGGATCCCAAATTTTTGGTTAGTTCCATCCCCATTTTTATCTTTTAAATGTTGAAAATATGTATACTCTAGGTACCTATTATAATAGAAATCTATTATTTACTCTAGGTTTTTAAAAAGTCTTTGTTAAATTGTTGAGGAACAATAACTGTTACTAAATTATAAAAAGTGCATGCCAAGAAAAATTGTTGAAAATTGTAGTACTATGTTATGAGAATAAAGAAAGTATAAAACATGTGCGTCCTTTTTATTTTCAATTTATAATTTTTATTTATTTGTTTATTTATTTATTTATGTTCTGATTTGTTTACATATTATTTATCTATTTATGTATCTAGTTTTTTTCTTATCTGTTTATACATCAATCCAATTCCCAGCACACCAAATCCCATTCCCAGTACACCAAATTGCATTCCCAGTACACCAAATCCCATTCCCAGTACACCAAATTGCATTCCCAGTACACCAAATCCCATTCCCAGTACACCAAATTCCATTCCCAGTATAACAAATTCCATTTCTAGCACACCATATCCTATTCCCAGTACACCAAATCCCATTCCCAGTACACCAAATCCCATTCCCAGTACACCAAATCCCATTCCCAGTACACCAAATCCCATTCCCAGTATACCAAATCCCATTCCCAGTACACCAAATCCTATTCCCTGTACACCAAATCCTATTCCTAGTATGACAAAATATTAATGATGTGGACTTATTGTTGTTTCTTTCTCAAACCAAACTGGGCTAGAACTTTCTGAATATTGGTATTGTTAAACTATTAATATTATTTTAATATCTATGCAGCTTTGTTGGTTGAAATTGGTTTTTTCTCCTAAAAACGGACAAACCTGGGCCCAGTTGTATAAAGGGTGGATAGCACTATTAGAAGGATAAATCCTTCTCCAGTGAATAAGTCGATGCTGTTATCCAATAAATTTATCCACTGGAAAAGTTTTATCCAGCGCCCTTGGGTAACACTATCCACCCTTCGAACAATTGGGCCCAGATAGTGATGTACACCCCTCTTACACTCAGGTGCTGAAAATAAAATTTTGCAATCAATCCATTTGTTGTTGTTGTT